TACTTGAAAGTTACCTAGAGACCAGGCTTTAAAAGTTCTTACCACACACACACACACACACACACACACACACACACACACACACATTAGAATTACATTTGGTGATGGATGTGTTAACTAACCTTACTGTGGTAATCATTTCACAGTATATACATGTATCATCAAGTTGGATACCTCAAGCTTATACAATGTTATGGGCCAGTTATATCTCAATAAACATAACAATGTTATGGGTCACTTATATCTCAATAAAACTGTAAAAAAAGATTTAAAATTTTTTTACAGGGAGAAGAGGGATGGGATTAGTTGCACATTAGGTGGGAAAGGCAAAATCACAGCATGTCACTACCCAAAGGGTTTCAGGAATTTTAAGTTGGCATCCCAGTGGACTGTATTCATTCTGAGATATGCTGTCTTTGGACAGCACAGGTTTTTTTGTTTTGTTTTAACTAACCCAACAACATTTATAAAGTCTGAAAATTCCAGACTCTGGAAAAAATGGGAAAATATGACAAAGCAGAGTCCAAAGTCTAAGCTGGCAGCAATGAGCTGGGATTTAACAGTGGGGTACTCAGTCTCCTGCCTCAGCTCCCAGTTCCAATTCTAAAAACCCAGAGCTTCCCTCTGTGCTTTCCAGCCACGTCATGAGAATTAGCAGCTCCTTAGAATTTAATCCCCTCGCTCAGTGTATAAGGAAACCAAGGACCGGAGAGGTCATGAAAATCGCCTAAAACCAAAGCCTGTTGGAAGCAAAGTGAAGGGCTCTGGAGTCTCCCCACAGGTAGGCGGAGGCTCAGATGGGATGGTCTTTGAACGGCCAAGGAATCTGGCAGTAGTGGGCATCGGTGGGTTTTGGTGAGGACTTTGGTGACGGTCAGAGCTTTGAGCAAGACAAGCTGCCCCCAGCCCCAGCTTCCTCGCGGGGGGCCTCCTACTCCACCACCCACCACTCAAAGCCCACTCTGCGCTGGTAGGAGTCTCCCCAGCACCAGCTCTCGGCGCAATGAAATGCACCCCGGGCTCCACCTGAAGCTGTCATAATATACCAGGAGCGGGCTCTGGCACTGGGCTCCTGCTGAAGCCCGGACGCTCAGCTGCTGAACCCGCCACCTCTCGTGCGGCGCCAGCCTCCGTGGGACAGAGAGCATTGCAGGTTGCTCCAAATCGCATCTTCTAAATCCGGCTACAGCGGTCCCAATGGCACCGGAGTGCGAAGGCGCAGAAAACCCTGCGAAGGGTCGACCCGGCGGACTGGGGATCCCCGCCAACGTGACCAGAGCTGCGTGCGCCGGGCGCCCTGGGCGCACCGGGTGCAGGAGTCCAGCGCCTATCTTCCGCCTTGGCTAGGAAACGGGCGGGGTACCCTGGGGCGGAGTCGAGCGTGGGGCGGGGCGCCTCGGGCTGGGTCCGAGGCGCGAAGAAGAGCTGCGGAGGCGGAGCGCCAACTCCAGCGGGAAGACTGAGACCGCGACGCTCCCGGAAAGCACGCAGGGCCGAGGAGGAAACAGGGACACCCCCAACGCAGCGCCTCCGCAAGTACAAGTCTGGGTCCCCGGAGCGCGCAGGAAGAAGGCGCGGAGGCAGGTAAATGCTGAGGTCAGCGCAGCCCGGGGCTCCATTGATGTGAGGGAGGCGTCGCCGGGGCTGGGTGCGCCGACGCCCACTTCTCCGCGGGATTGGGGCTGCTTTGCCTCCTGCCTCTCTGGGGATGCGCGCAGGCTGGCTCGAAGAAGAGGAGTTGGTGCTGTGAGAGCCCCCCAACCCACGGACCCGCTGGGACCGGGCAGGGGGTGGTAAACTGAGACTGGGGAGTGCGGGCGCGGGCAAAAGAAACCAGCGGGTGCTGGGCTGGAGGGCGAGCGCCAAATTGCAGGGAAAGGGCATGGGTAGGGGTGCACCTTCTTGAAAGGAGAGCAGAAAAAGGGAAGCGTCTCTGGGAAAATTCCTGCTCACTGTTCCCACCTCCATCCCCAGTTTTCTTCCCGCCCTGAGACCCCCCGACCCGCTTTGCTTTTCGAGCCCGAATTTCTGACTTGATTCCCGCCTCTGTCAGGGCGGCGCCACTGGGGAGCGCTCGGCCGCGCGGGGTGGTTAATCGCGGAAGGGGGTAGGAGGCTCCTGGAGCGAGTTGGTCAAGGGCAGGAAGTGCATCCCGCGGAAATGGAGCTGGGACCTGCCCAACCTGGGCGCATGCCTCCTTCTCTGGGGTCCTAGGACTTGGAGAGCCGCGGAGCGTACAAGTCCAGAGGGCCCGACTCGGCTTCTCCGTCTCGGGCTGAGACCGAGAGGCGACCAGGAGGGAGGACACCCACGGCTGCAAANGCCGGCCCTGATCACAAGATTCTGTTCTGCCCATGGGCAGGGCAGAGTAGACAGACTGGGAATAAACACCCTTCAGGAACAGTTGTCAGCAGATGACTGTGAGCTCCCTCACCCCCTCTACTGGTAGAATTCCAGGGGGGCAGGGGGGAAGGAGGTTTGTTCCACATTCCCTCCCAGAATTCTCCAGTGGAATGAAGTTCCATTTGCCCACAGTGGTAAATTGCATGATTCCACCCTTTATTGGCTGCCTTCCCTTTCGGGTCTCATTTTTCTACTCCCCTCACATTATTTCTTGGGATCACCGCCCAATAAACTTGGTGCACTCAAATCTTTGTCTCAAGGTCTACTTTTAGAGGAAGTCTATTTCACCTTGGAGTACAAACCAAGGTCACATTCTTTGTAATATTCTAATTAAAAGACTCAGAGCCCTAAGTCACCCATAGTGAAAATGGCTTTCTTCCTTCCCCTTCCTCTTTCCATGGCGAGTTCACGTATCCCCAAAGCCAGTCTGGTTTGTATTTGAAAGTATATAATGAAGTGCAGGAAACAGGGATCACCTCTAAGGGCCTGGATTGTGGAGAGGAGGCAGAGGAAGAATTTAACTTTGGACTTTCTATATTCTGTGAATTTGTTCCACATGTTTGCACCCAAACCCTACCTCAGATGACACACTGGAGGGAAGAGTTTTGTGTCCTTTCCTGAGCTCAAGTGGAGACAGCATGTGAGCACTTGGGTACAGGGCCTTTACCTGGAGCAGGAAGCTTCAGAGAAGCTGAGGGTTGACAAAAATCAATACCCAAGTACCTCCCTATAAAACTAAATGCTTTCCAAACCCAACCAAACAGCTCTTGACTTGAAAGCCTTCAATCTTATTAGCGACAGCAGAGTCCTCTCATTCATCTGTCCTTCCAGAAAACAATGTCATTAACCACCAAGGGGATTTCATTAACCAAATTCCATGTTATCAAGTCCAGTTTTGAGTCCATTGATAACCTGCTTCTTGCAAGGACTTTGTTCACTCAACCCGTCCTCTTCCTACCACTGCCTCCTCCTGAGGATTCTGTAAACCTTCTGAAACATTATGGAAAATAATTACATGTTTCTGACCAAAAATCTAGCTGTTGTGTAAGCTGCCATGTTCTTGTGTCTTCTTCCATAGACAGGGAGTATGGCTGATGGGCAGAGACCCTGATGCCTCATCTCACTTCCGACTATCATCTTCTGGCACTGCCCGGGAGGCATGTGGGAACAAGAGAGGGAAAAATATTCTGCCTGGGTCAGGTGAGCCAACCAGTGTGTTTTACAGAGCCACTCTTTCCAGAACCCCCTGAAAGCCAAGTGGATTGAATGAAAGGTGGGAGCCAGGGCCAATGCACCTTGAATCATTAATTATACTCCACATTTCCTAACCGTGATTCACACAGCTTAATTACATTTACTTTCAAAGTAATTAAAGAGTTTACCTAACTATGTGCCTACAGTCGATAACAAGGGCACATTTTTAATTTGATTATTAATTACTCCAGGAGAGACACACAGACCCACAGAAAAATAACTTGAGGTAATTTTCTCAGAACAGTGCCCCTCCATACCATATATACTTTCAATGATTGAGAAGACACCCTGCATTCAAAACAGGTGTGAGAGAATGGCATTCCTGAGAAGTCATTCATTTGAATATTCCCTTCTTTGGTCTCAACAGATATTTGATTATTGATTCAGGTGCAGTCCCTGGTGGTCACCTCTACCAAACGCTTCTTACCACAGAAGTGAAAAATGGTTAGACCCTTATGGAGTTCAATGTGGTAATATCTACAGAAATTACAAATGCTTTTATGCCTTGAGCAATACCACTTCTATGAATTTGCCATTCAATATACTTGCTCATATACAAAAAGATGTTATGGACAAAGTTATTAATTGAAGCACTATTAATTTTAT